CAGAGGCCAAAGTGGGTGAATTTCTTGAGCTCAAGAGTTTGACACCAGCCTGAGCTGGTGAGAGAGAGACCCTATGTCTACTAAAAATAGGAAAATTAGCCAGGTGTTGTGGTGGGTGTGAACGGGGAGGCTAAAGCAGGAGGATCACTTGAGCCCAAGAGTTTGAGGTTGCTTGAGCTATGAGGTCATGGCATTCTACCCATGACAACACGGTGAGACTCTGTATAAAAAAAAAAAAGAAAGAAAGGGTGGTGCCTGTGGCTCAAAAGGGTAGGCGCCAGCCCCATATGCAGGAGGTGGCAGGTTCAAACCCAGCTCTGGCCAGAAACTGCTAAAAAAAAAAAAAAAAAAAAAGAACTACTTTAACAACAATTTTCATCTTCCTCCTTCTTGAACAGGTCGAGATGTTTTATTCAGAGAGTACAGTAGTATATGACTACTCCGACAAGCCCTGAGCAAAATCCCTAAAAGGACATAGGTTTCTGGCTGTGACCATCAAACGAACAACAGCTAACATTTGTTAAGTGCTCACTATGTTCAGTCACTTTTGAAGAGCACTTTATTATTGAATTATCTTATGTATTTATTTTTAAAGACTCCATGAAGTAGGTATAATTGCTATTCCATTGTCATGAAGAATAAAAGTATAGATGGTGAGCAACTTGTTCTAGGTCATAGAGTAAGTATTGACTCCAGAATGCAGATTCAGTATCACATAGGTGTCCATTAACTCCCTTAGACTACCAGTGATTTTCTTTTGATATACTTATTTATGTTAGATGTTGTTTCCTGCCATTTATGAACGAAAAGTGCATGTTTTCACTTAAGTCAGTTTCTATAAGAACTTTCCTTGTACATTCATTCAAACTTGTACTCGTAGTAAAATGTTTCTAAAATCCAGCCTAACATTGTTTTTTAATTTTAAAAAAAGTGGAAATGCTCTTCAATAAGTAGCCCAAGAAAATCTGAGAGTGGCCTGGGATTCTATGGGGAGCAAAGGCCAGAAGGGGGTGGAGAAGGACTTCTGTCCACAGAAGCAGCGTAGTCACAGCAATGAGGTACAATTTAAGCAAAAGCTATGATGACGGCAATGAGTTAGACTGACAAACCATGGAATTTACAGAGTTGTGTCTTCTTCATTTTCCTTCATGATTCATTCTTTAATAGTGTATAATTTTAAAACATCTTTTTAAATTTATATTGTAACTATATATTCACCTAAAGGAAAGTTAGACATGTAAAACCACACACACACACACACACACACACACACACAAAGCATTTTGTGTATAATGCCATGCCCTAGGTCACCTCTGTTAATTGTTTGCCAGCATAACAGGGGCTACTATTCTGGCTAACTTCTGGAATAACAGGAATTTTTAGGGAACTTAATAATACCTGCACATCCAGTAGTAAAATGAATGGGAAAATACAGAAAACTGAAGAAGCATGGCCAAGAAGGATGTAGCACTTGAGGATTGAAAGTCTGGGTTACTTGTCTAGGTAGAAAAAATTAGCTCATTTTGCTAGCTAAGATGCTGGTTGATGTTCAAGAACTGTGAGTGAAGAGAGAAGTTGCAAATACTGACTATGGATACGTTCCCAGTTGCAGAAATGAGAACTAAGGAAGAACCATGGCCTCTCTCTCCTTGATTGCTGTGTATTTATATCTACATATTTACCTTGATTTCTATGCCAGTCCCGTACTCTTTAACATAAGATGTATGGTGAGTTAGTGTTAAGCTCTAGTTGGTGTTACAATCTAATTCATTATTTTAGTTACAGATATGAAAGGGAGATTGTGAATGAAAAAGAAATGAAACATTGTCACCAAAATTTGGGCAAGCCATGCATGAGTCTATGTACTCATGTAACATATAAAACTTAATTCACTAATAAGTAAGTTATAACTTGTGAAGATTTTGAATGGGGTATTGGAACACAAAAATGACTGGATTCACACAGATAAAATTCAACTAAGTTTTTGAGATGGTATCACTGTCAGAACTTCTTGCCTGAGCTGAAATGTTCCAACATTGACAAGAGGCGTTGAGATGACCTCTGCCACAGAGAGCAAAACCTTGCAGAAGAGCACAGATAAATATGGATTTATGCTCTACTCACAGGGAGTAGAAAGGAAGCTTAATCAGGGGACATTACTTAGAACCTCTTACCTTTCCAAAGGGAGTGTAGAAATTGTACATACGAGGCACATGCCTTCACTGCTCTCCTTTCTGAAAAAGAAGTGTTTGTTGTGGTTTTCTGGATTTGTTCAACCCTTGTGTGTGTGTGTGTGTGTGTGTGTGTGTGTCTAGAGAAGCAGATAATTTAACTTTATACACCACAGGAAAGTGTGATAGATTGCATCACTACTCAAAGATTCCTCTCTCATATTGAAACCATCCTCATAGGATGTCAGATTTGGCCAAGAAATATTAGAAATGATGTGTGCTATTTCAGAGAAGAAGTATTATGGATACCAAATGGTTCTTCCATTGGAGAAAAGTGAGAGTGACAAGTAGCCTTCAGCCATTATGTAATGGATTTCAGAAACATATTTTGAATCACAGTGATACTTTGAGATTTTTTTACTGTGGCACGACTCAGCAAAAGCTAACCAATACACTGAAAAATTAGTTAAGGGAAATCCATTTCCTCTACTATAGAAAATAAGGTTGGTATTAGAGGTGATACTCATTGAACTTGGAAAGTCGATGCTATTATTTTATAAATACTAATTTAATAATTAATTAATTAATTACTATTAATACTTATTGAAGATAGAAATGTAGCTTGGGAACAATGCTACTGATGTTATCATTCTGATGCCTAGGAACACACGTAGGCAAGATTTTCATACTGTTGAGTGTTGGAAATTAGTAATGAAGGACGAAAAGAAAAAGTGCTTCCCAGGAGATACACAAAAATTGTTTAACTTTTGGTAGCATGAGCTAGTGTGAGCCAAGTATGAAACTATGCAAAGAATTCAAAATGAGAATCACGACTCTGTCGCCAAATCTGGTAGTTATTAGAAGATGTGTTCCAGATAAACCATTTATAGGTTAACAGGATCCAACAAAAAAGACCTTTTCTTCCTGGACTTGAGGCTCCATGGATCACACAAATACAGATGAGTTTGACAAGTGCCCAGAAAGACAGCCGCTAATTCCTATGATTTAGTAAGTAGTTGGCTGGCAGAGAGTAAGCCCAGTGAAATGTCTAATTCACCCAGGACTGTGTAAAACATAAACACACATTCTGAGAACTAAGTATACTGACCTTCCTACAAGTGTTATTTGAATGCCCTATATTTCCATGGCAGGACATAAACTGGGCTCAAGGACTCCTTATATTCTTATTTCCCTCACTGCTTTGAAAATGAATCAATGGTTACTGGGCACAGAGAAAGGAGGAGTGAAGCAGTGAGAGAGTGAGAGCACAGTAGGTAACGCTTAGTTACTTACACATACGTCATATGCTCCTTCCTTTACCAGGATAAAACCATTAAAGGTTGCGCATACCTTTTTCTAGTTCAAGCAATCCAAATTACTCTACATCTCTGAAATTTAAAGGACAACAAGAGAAAAAAAAAAGACTGTTGTATTAAAGCAGACCACATTCTCAACATCTTTGGACTATTTACACTAATATTCTGGTTAATTAATAAGCCATAAACAGAGAAGGCTTGAAATCAATATGCGATGCACAGTACATATAAGCAATCATGATCAATGTCTTTTTACTTTAAATTCTGTATACATTTTTATGACAACCCTGTATCTTCCCATCTATGACAACATCTAAGAGTATTTCTAGGGCTAAAATCTGCAAGTTTTACTTTATTTAGTATTATTTTATGTTATTTGTGTAAATCGACAGGGTAGACTTGTAACTTTATTACCTGGCTTTTACCCATCCCTTGAGTAAGGTGCACTGTCGGGATCCACTCGCCCTCATCTCCCCACCCTGCCATGTCTTCAACTTCTTTTTAGATACTAAAATGGTCCTCAAATTTGCTTTTCCTTTTTTAAATTCCAAATGCCACCAGCAGGGAACTGGTTTTGGCTTTGTGGCTGGCCCACTCAAGCTGAGCTTTAGACTCATGCTTTGTGTTTTTATAAACATCTTTTATTATGACTACTAGAAATTTAAACTCACACATATAAACAAAATTATATTTCTGTTGGACAGTGTCACTCTCTCTTGCCCATCCTATTGGCTCAGCGCCCTCTGTGAGTAACAGGTTTGCTTGTTTGTTTTCTCTCTCACAGCTTTGTTGTGGGATAATTTGCAAATAAAAATCATCTTTATCCATGCTGTGGAGTGTGATGCTTTGAAATATGTATACATTATGAGTGATTTCCACAGTAAAGATAATTAGCATAGCCATCACCTTCCATAGTTATTATATTATATTCTTATGGCAAGAAATTCAAGACCTACCTTCTTCATGATTTTCAAGTATACAATGCATTGTTATTAGCAGTAATTGCCTTGCAGTATAATACATCTTCAGGACTTATTCCTTCTGTCCAACTGAAACTTTGTACCCTTTTACCAAATCTCCCCATCCCCTCCCTCAGCTCCTGGCAGTGATCATTCCACTCTCTGCTTCTATGATTTTTAAGAGTTTTATAATTTTTATGACTTTTTTATGCTTTCATGGCTTTCTTTTTAAGATTCCACATATAAATAATATCACACAATATTTGGCTTTCCGTGTCTGGCTTATTTCATTTAGCATAATGTCCTCCAGGTTCATTCACATTGTCTCAAATGGAAACATGTTCTTCTTTTATTATGATTGAATAATGTTTTATTTTATTTTATTTTTATTGTGTGTCTGTACAACTGAATAATAATTTTTACTTTATGTAATAATACAAGTAATAGGCATATTTATGTAATCATACATGTACTTTATATAATAATACAGTACGTAATACATATAATAGGCAGGTTATTATAAGCTAAAGAAAATATTATTATTGTTATTATTTTAAAATATGGGATGCTTCATGAATTTGCATGCCGTCCCTGTGCAGGGGCTATGCTAATCTTCTTGGAATCATTCCCATTGATCCCTATATATATACGTATGTATACATAACATGCATATTATATGTATTATGTACTGTATTATTACATAAAGTAAGCTAAATACGTGTTAGTTGACTGTTTACATTATCAGTAAGATTTCTGGTCGACAGTGGCCTAGTAGTAGGTAAGTGTCTGGTGAGTCAAAATTTCTACATGGGTTTTTGAAAGCACTAAAGGTCAACTCCTTTAACTTTCATGTTGTTTAATGATCAATGATCAACGTCTGATATCACATTTCCTTGATTCAATTGGCCACCTGTATGGGTTTAGGTTGTTTCTCTGTGTTGGCAACTATGACTCCTACCGTGATGAACGTCAGAGGGCAGCTATCTCTTTGACATGTACATTCCAGTTCCTTCTGATATATACTCAGAAGTGGATTTGTTGGATCATGTGGTAGTTCTATTTTTACTTTTTTTGAGGAACCCACCATATACAAGATTTTCCTCTTTTCCATGCCCTCACCAGCACTTACTATCTTCTGCCGGTTGACAGTAGCCATTCTTGCGGTTATAATTCACATTATTTTTCTGACATTTAGCAATATTGAGCATTTTTCATATACCGGTTGGTCATTTGTATGTCTTCTTTTAGAAATGCCTGTTTAGGTCATTTGCTCATTTTTTAATTAGATTATTTGGGGTTTTGGTATTGAGTTATTTGATTTCCTTATATAGTATTTTGTATATGAACCCTTATCATGTATGGTTTCCAAATACCTTCTCCCATTTCGCTGGTTGTCTCTTTACTCTGTTGATTGTTTCCCTTTCGGTGAAGAAGCTTTTTAGTTTGTGCAATCCAGTTTGTCTTTTTTGCTTTTATCACTTGTGCTTTTGGGGTCATATTTAAAAAAAAATCATTGCCATTAAAAAAGATGGAGACTTTACATCTTTTACATTTACCTGGATGGAGTTGAAATACATTCTTCTTAGTAAAGTATCACAAGAATGGAAAAATAAATATCTAATGTCCTCCATAATAATATGGAATCAATATATAAACAATTACATACTCATAAGAACAATAAAACTCTAATATAGTCCTGTTAGGTGTAGAGGAAAATGGGAGGGGGAGCACTTTTGGCAGAAGGAGGGAGGGCATGAGACGGGATCTCACCTAATGTGCACGTTGTGAGGGTGTACAACACGCCCCCTGGGTGAGGGGCTCCTCTACAAATGGAACTTTACCCTGGAAGTGAGAACAATGTAACCTAAAAACTGTACCCTCGTATTAATTTGATTTAATTAATAAATAAAGTAGCAATACAGATTCAAACCAAAAAAAATAAATAAAACAATAAAGTGGTTTAAGAAAAAAAGACCTGATGATGCACAGAGATCAGACAACACTACTGTTAAATCTGGAATGAATCATGCAAAGGCAAAAAAAAATCATTTGCCATACCAAAGATAAGAATCTTTTACTCTATGTTTTCTTCTAATAGTTTTATAGTTCCAGTCCTTTTGGATTTCAATCTTTAATCTATGTAAATGTCTTAATGGGTGTGACCTAAATAGACATCATAATATAGGTATCAGTTATTTAACTGAATGAATTCCTATAGGAAAATGTGCTTATACACCCCCAAACCAATATATTTCTATTAGCTCCTTTGTATAGGAAAGTGAGTTGAATGACAAAAATGAAAATTTTCACAAAGCAACTAATAACAAACCCTTTCCTGATTTTCTGAAAAGAATTTCTAGGAAAGCAAAATTTGATAATGTGAATGGTAATAAGGGAATTGTAGACAAAACTAGTAGGGCAGCTGTAAGAATTTAAATGTAAACTGTAGCAAGAGATTTTCAGATCTAGATTACAATGAACTGTAGAGCTTAGAAAAAATATAGCTGAACTAATTGGACTGGTAAAAATGCGTTGGTGCATAAAGAAAACAAAACTCTGATAGGAACATCCCAAACTAATTATTATAAGTAAATTGACACCAAGAATGAAATTATCTCAATAATTTATTCAACAATGTGGTTTGGGGATTATATTTGAAGTGTTTCTATTTTAATTTTTATGTTGTACTAATTTTGTACTTAAGGAAAATTTGCAAAAACAGTACGGAGGGTCCTCATACACCTCTCAGGGAGCTTCTCCTCAGGCAATCATTTTCTACTACCATTGTCCAGTTACGGAAACTGGGAAATTAACACTAGTCTGTTTTTTATTATGATATTTGAATTTCACCTGTTTTCTTTTCCTCCTACTAATGTACTTTTTCAGATCCAGGATCATATGTCGAATCTCAAGTTTCTTTCTGTTTTCTTTCTTTCTTTCTTCTGTTTGTACACACTCACTTTTAATCTGTTAGCAGATCTGTCATCTCTCCTTAAATTTCATGACGTTGACATTTCACAGTATCTGATAAATTATTTTGTAGAATGTCCCTTAGTTTCAATTTGTTGGATGTGTTCTCGTGACAAAAAAAAAAAAAAATGAAGCTATTCAGTTTTTTAAAATTTATTTTTTGGCAAGACTCCCCAAACATGGAGCTATGTGATTTTTAAGGTGTTGTATGACAGGAGTCATGATGTCAGTATTCTCAATACTAGTGATTTTAACATTATTTATTTAAACCATATTTAAAGTCATATCTGCTGAGTTTCTCCAATACAAAGTTACAGTTTTTCCTTGTAAGTGTCTTCTAGAGTCCTGTTTAATATCTTGCTTCCCCTTGTAATTTTGATGATGAATCTTCTCATGTTTCAATGATCTTGTTTGCCACAACTGTTCCCATGGTGTTGCTTTAATAACGTCTTCCTATTTCTTTCTTCCCTTCAATATTTACTCATTGGAATTCTGCTGCTGAAAGAAAAAAAATTCTTGTCCCTCATTTATGTAATTATTTAATTATTCATTTATATCAAAATGGACTCTTGAATATTTATTTGACCATGTATAAAAACCCAATACGAGGCTCAGCACTTGTAGCACAGTTGTTGCGGCACTGGCCACACACACCAAGGCTGGAGAGTTTGAACCCAGCCCAGGCCAGCTAAACAACAACAACAACAAAAAAAAAAAATAGCCAAGCGGGTGCCTGTAGCCCCAGCTACTTAGGAGGCTGAAGCAAGAGAATCACTTGAGCCCAAGGGTTTGAGGTTGCTGTGAGCTGTGATGCCACAGCACTCTATTCAGGGCAATATAATGAGACTCTGTCTCAAAAAAACAAACAAACAACAACAAAAATAAAACACCAATATGATTGTCATTAATTTTGCTCAATTGTTCCATCTGGCACTCTTTCCAGATGGTTTCTGAATCCTTTTGATAAGGACCCATGCTTTACTAAGTACTTCCAAGATCTGGGCTTCAAATGTGCTTATTACTACTGAGTGTCGTTATTTCTAGTTTCTTTCAGCAGGTGGAGGTATGAAATGCATGCATATATTATAGCCCAGGCACATACTGCTATATGCATTTCTCCGTCTGCTATGGTTTTAGGTATCCTTTAAATTCCATCCAATGGAAATTGAGTGCCCAGACTCAATACGATGATGGATTTTGCAGGACTTTTGGCAGGTAATTAGGAATAGATAAAAGGACCTGGGGATGGGACAGGTGGTGCCACAAGAAGAGGGAGAAAGGCCTGAGCTGGCATACTCTGCCCTTTCCCCATGCAATGCCCTCCTCCACATTACTCTGCAACAAGAAGGTTCTTGCCAGGTGCCACGTCATGCTGTGAGACTTGCCAGCCTTCACCTCTTAACTACATACACTTCTTTTCTTTATAATCACCCAATGTGTGCTATTCTGTTACAGCAACCAAAAACATTTTTTAAACACTATTTGTGTAATTATTAAAACCATGAGTTTATACTGATAGTTCTGACTACAATCAAATACCACAGTGTGTATTTCACCTTTACCCCTCTTCTTTTTTTTTTTTTTTTTTTTTTTTTGAGGCAGAGTCTCGCTCTGGCAGCCTGAGTAGAGTGCTATGGCATCATAGCTCACAGCAACCTCAAGCTCTTGGGCTTAAGAGACCATCTTGCCTCAGTTATTTTCTGTTTTTTTTAGAGACTCGTCTCATTCTTGCTCAGACTGGTCTCGAACTCCTGAGCTCAAGCAATCCACTCACCTCAGCCTCCCAGAGTGCCAGAATTACAGGCACCAACCACCATGCGTACCCCATCTTTTTACATTTAATTTCTTTCTGCAAGAGCAAGAAACACACCTCTAATTATGTGCAACATATATACTTTTCTATAAACTCTAGTGTACACATCGCACCGTTTCTGAAGTTATAACACATACCGCATAAGAAGAGTCGTTGCTTACTAAGTTAGAGCAGATAAGCGCAGCTGTTTTGTCTTTATAAGTGTTCAATGTATAGTATAGTTTTATAGTAAGGGTTCAATGTTTTATAAGTTACCAGGTTAGTTCTTTTCTTTTACACGCCTTCACTGTGGTTAAGGTATTGATTTGTTATCTGTTAGGTTCGCTTGTTAGCATTTATCCTGCGTAACGCCCCTGCCACGTGAGTACTAATTTGTCTACTAATTAGTTTATGAGCGTCTGTCTCCCCACAGCCCGCGTGTGAGCACTGATTTTAGTAGTTGCTGGGTCTGTTAAACATCACTATTATGTAAGAATGAGACATACAAACAGAGACGCTCAGAGGAGTGTCACTCCCTCCTCACACCTGGGTCTATTCTCGCCTCCTTTTAACCATTTCTCACTCAGCCTCTGTCCATAGACAATCACCTTAGTTCCTGGGTTCCATTCCTTTATTTATTTTTCACACATGGGCAAGTATGTGTGTATTTTCTTCTATGCTCTTTTTCTTACATAAAAGATAGCACGCTATAATGCTTTGTATTATTCTGAACTTTGCCTTTTCTTCCCAATGTGCCCTAAAAATTATGACATCCCAGATCATAGAGACCTTTCTTCTTGTGTTCTTTACAGTCCCATAGTACTGCGTTGTTCGTGCCCTAGTTTATCCAATCACTTCCCCATATATGAGTAGGTCGGTTGTTTCTAACATTTTGTAA